GGTTCTACGATGCCGATGATCTGGAGTGCAAGCTCTTCACCACCGATGATTGTGATGATAATAGGAATAAGTTCCGATCGTTGGAAGCATGTGAGGGCACTTGTCTATTGCCACACAAAAATCAAGAAGATACCCAGGATATCGAGGAAGCCGACGAGTGGGGTCAACAGTTTGGTAAGCCGAAATCGTTGACTAAGACGAAGCCGAGAAGGAAAATTGAGCGCAAAAATCGCAGGCGAAAACCAAAAGAGCCTTTTGTGGGTGATATTCAGAATTATTGGAAGTAGTTACTTACAGAACTGAACAAAAGTTTGCAATTGCATGAATGGGCATGTGAAGTGTAACTATAGCCACTGATATACCTACATATGTATGTAACTGTATATAGATTTTAGTAAACAAATTTCGAATATTTAAGACATAAGTACATACTCGTAGTATACATGTATAAATACAAAGAACTAGCAAATCAAAAAAAGAAGCTGTATGTGGTTTTCTCACCTCCCAAATTCTGATCATTTTTCTCGAAAAGTCTATTTGCAGACACTTGCACATACACATTAATAATACTTTGTCTTTCAGTTATTCTTCAAAACAATTGCAGTCCAAGTCAATTCCCGCTTAGCTACTATTTATAATACATACATCGCAGCGCCAATCAAGCATCTTATCAAAACCAAAAACATTGGCCCCTCTTGTTTTGTGCGCTCTTAGCACAACACAGTGGTGAACATAAAAGGTCGTACATGTTTCTTTCAATATAAGGGCTGATCACGTACGCAGTCCCAACTTACCTGGTTTACTCAAAATCTACGTGAAATTAGACTGACCCACAAGCATACAAAAAAAAATCGCCGTGCACCTCCGAGTCCAAAGATTTTTTGCAAGAAATTTTCGAAAAAGATTTTGTTGTGGTCGAACGTAGGAGTCGCCTTTTGAAATTTTTCGATGACACCTAAGGACATTCGGCAATAAAAAGATTTTTTTTTTAATAGTTCTACTGGAACAATCAAGAAAATTCTTTAGCAAAAGCGTATTGATTTTTGGAGAGCATTGATTTACTGGCATTAGGGTGGTACACATAAAGGTATAAAAATGAGATCTGTGGATGAGTACTAGAACGGGGTGCTAGAGGTCAATAAACTTTGGAACAAAAAAATGTTATCCTCAAGGCAAAAGCGCCGACATATTATGCTTCAAGATCCCACTGTAAATGACGAAAAATTAAAAAAAGCGACGCCCTCGTTCAGCCAAATAATAAGTATCGAAATTGCCTTCCAAAAATACTTTACGACTCAGAGGTGAACGGCGCACATTTTTTTCTGGTATGGTCTAATGTACATGTTTATGTATATAGTTATTTTTTCAGATTTGCAATCTCTATTTATACGTCTTAAGTAATCCAGTTATTCGTTACCAAAAAGTCCCATCGTTCTAAAAGTTCTTGTGAGAATTTCACTTAAAATTCTCAATTTGCGCTCTGAAATGTTTTTGGGTTGTGCGCTTCCAATAGCCACTCTTATTGAAGCAAGTCGTCATGCGGGTTTCTTTCGATTTAATTTCATATTTATTAAGACGGCATGAATCTTAGCTCACTGCTCTGTACCTTGCCTAGTTTTTAAGGTTATTCCGCACCTCTCAAAGATATGAAAGTATATCGAAAAGGTTCAGTTCCTCCAACTAATACTGCTTCAGAGCTCCGTAAGGTCCTCACGAATTCGCGAGCCAAACGTTAATGTATCCTTTAAAAAATAGCATATAATAGCAATAACCGAGCAAAGCCTAGTAAAAATCGCTACTCACCGCGAAACTTCGAATCTAGGCTTTCTTAACAAGTTATGTGTTTAATTCGGGTTATATACGACAAATTTCACTGCAAGTAGTTTCGACAGTGCGTGAGATCTGGTTCTCGATTGAGACTAGTATATAACCCTCCCTTTTGCGATGACCGTTGATCCAAAAACATCCACAACGAAATAACTAATAACGATATATAAAGCAAAGTTATTTCACTGCGTAATAAGCTTCGACTTTGTAGTGAAAGACTCCACAGTCATAATGGCCATCCGCAAATTCGATAAACTAGCGACCCGCTCACCTTGATGGTGGCGTAAACTACTAATAATAATAATAATAATAGATTGGCGCTTACACATATGTTAGTGTCTGGCCGAGCTTCTCCTCCGAATTGTGGCGTGCGCCTTAATGTTGTCACACAAAGCGGAGGGACCTACAGATTTACGCCGACTCCGAACGGCGATTGTATTTTTATGAGAAGCTGTTTTTCATGGCAGAAAAACACTCGGAGGTTTGCCATTGCCTGCCGAGGGACGACCGCTGTTAAGAAAAAACCTTTTTTCTATATTTTTTTGCGATGTTGCTTTGACCAGGGTTTGAACCCAGGTGCTGCGGAGTGGAAGCGCGCACTGCTTACCACTACACCACAGTTATTATAACCAGGGAACGGATTTTATGGAAATTGCCTGTTTTTCTGCTAAAGAGATAGAGTATATTCGATTAAGAATGTCCACGATTTAGCTTTACCTGATTCCATATATACACATTTGATGTTGCCTTTTATTGCCTTTTTTATGATATTTGCCTTTTTTTGCCTTTTTAAGATATTTGCCTTTTCTTGCCTTTTCTACCTTTAAAAAAGCGATTATAGCATTTACAATTTTTTTTTAAAGATTAAAAAATATACACATGCCCATGCGGCTTATAGAAGCGTTAAGCGTAAAGGGCGAGGAAAACGCCCTTATTCCTGATAATATGAACGTTTCAAACGTTCCATATTTAAATTGGGCTCCACTTGTATCAACTTACGTCGAGCGCACATTTAGTACATTCAAGGCTATTCTTCGCGAAAATCGAATAAAAATGCAAAATGTAGCTTGTGGTTCAATGTTACTACAACTATACAGATTAAAGTTTTATTAGTTAGAAACTCGAAAGGATAAAATAGGCAAAGATTCAAAGTACAAATTTTTCATATAATGAAACTAGTTCATAGTTTTTCTCTTTTTACTTGTAATATAAACATTTCTAAAATAAATGTATTTTTTGATTGTTCTTTGTATTTTCTGTCTTTTTTTAGTGCCATATTTTGCTTTTTTTGCAATACCTAGTGCCTTTTCCTGCCTTTTTCGCTATTTTATTTTGCCTTTTCCCGCCTATTTCTTTATTTCATTTTGCCTTTCTTATAGGTTTTTAGGTCCTAAAAATCCGTTCCCTGGTTATAACATTGAGGGCATCCGCAGGACAAGCCCCGATACATACGTTCGTCTGAATTCTCTCTGGTTTTATATTCAGACTATACTGATTATGTATGGCTGTACACAAGACCAGGGAACCGGAACATAAGATCGGAAGTAACATTGCTTTGTATGAGCATTCAGATTCAACTTTTGGACATTGGGCCAATGTCTTCGCCAAAAACTGCTTGCAAGAGTAAAAAACAACGGAGCAGTGCCAATTTCCAGGGGGTACTTTATTTTCCTCCCCCTTTCTCTCCTTCTTTTAGCTCGAGAATGCTTTGGGTTGCAGGCGAGATCTCTTTAGTATTTTCTGTGGTTCACGTATTTACGTGGCGGGTCCCAAGCATAACACACAATCCATTGCTGAGTTTTGTTACGAGGCACATTCATACAGCGAGTCGCAATGGCTGCTCATTTCAGTGTGTGCTTAAATCCAATATGTAGGAGTTAACCCACCGGAGCCGCCAGTGTCTAACCCGACGCTCTACACGGGCAGGTTAATCATCTCGCACATGGGGTTGCCCAGAGTGCGCGAACAATGACGCAGGAACAGGGATTATGTCGTATAAATGTATCTGCATATCCATACCCATTCCTGGATATCATCTCTCGATGAACGTCATTCTGGGATTTTAGCCTTAAGTTTCCCATACATTTTCCAACAAGTGAAGATTAGAAAATTATGGTATTTTCATCTACACCGATGGCGTAATGTTTAAAAAAGAAATGGATCGGATCTGTGTCCCATGGGCTTTCAGATAAGGCAATCATATCACCTGCGTGATAGCTGCAGTGTCTTTCAAACGGATATCCTTGCCAAACAGAGTGCGATTTATCTCATACGGTTAAGTAAGCCTCGGTCAGGAAATATCGCTATATTCGTTAACAACCAGGCGGCAATGAAAACATTAGGTTCCAAGGCAGTAAAATCGAGTGTAGTTCAGAAATTCCCAAGCTAGTAAAGTCAAAAGTAGCTCAGCATCGCTGGCTTCTCTGCTAGACTCCTGGACATAGCAATATCGAAGGTAAAGAAAGATTTAGCCAACGATATGTTTAGACGCGGCCTGGAATTACAAATAGGCTATGCGGATAACTTCCTACTACACGACAGCTGTAACTAATAGCATATGCATCAATCGGAATGACTGTGAGATCTCAATATGGTTATGGCCGAGATTCAATAAGAGTCGTACTGAGGAACTATTATCACTAAACAAATCTGCAGTAAGGGCTCTTGTCGGCGCCATCACAACGCACTGTACTATAGCTCAATCGATGGCGTATACCCATAAGTTATAAGGATGTGGAAGAAGAGAAATCGTTTCACCACTGCCTATGTCAATGTCCGGCCCTCCAAATAAGGCGTCTCAAGCATTTGGGATCATGATTTTCAATAATTGTGGGAGATAGCGGAAGTCAAAATACCGGAGCTCCAGTTTCATCACAATGTGGAACAACTGCGGTTTGAAGTATGTGCCTCCTCCTGGCAGTCATAAAGGGCATTCGCAAAGGGCAAGTCTTCATACGGGTGGAAGTACGAGTCAGTCATACGCGCCTTCCTAACCTAATCTAACCACCTCTCGCTTACTGAAACTTTTATTTTAGCAGTCAGTTCTAGAGCTGTTCGCACTTTTTCACACATTACTGTAGTACGTGCATATATATGGTATCAGTATAGTTTTTTTTTTTGCGAAAACAATCATAATCTCCACTCAGAACGGTCTCAGCGGCATCTTAGCCGAGCTCAACGATTAGTTTACTTTTCGAATCGAACGCGTAAACAACCGCTTTAATGAATATGTTGTTGCTCAAAGCAATATTCGTAGTGTTTCTTTTGGCCAAACATCACCAAGTGGATGCGCTAATATGCAGTCGCTATCCGACAAATACAAATATGCCAAAATCCCCGGTAGATGAGAATTTCGTGGTCACAATCAGTGGGAATCCGCAAACTTACGTTTTGGGGCAGGAATATAATGGTGAGTGGGAGGTTTTATGTAGTTTATACATACGTACATATATGTGTAGTTAATAACCGGTGGATATTATTTGTTGGAAAAACTATTAGATGAAGTCAAACAGCAAATATACTTACTAATCTATGTTTTTCCGAGTTTAGATACTAAGGCATATACTTAGATATATATATATATACATTTTGTAAACGTAAATACATACATATACATATGTACGGGCATATATACAATTTTGTGAATAAGCATAACTTTACGTTGGCCTGGACGTTATCAGTTTTGAATTTCGAAAACATTGAACTTGAACGAAAGCACGGGGAAAATTATATGTATGTATGCATGTATGTATGTGTATACATTAGGGTGCACATCGATTTTTTTTCAAGGCCCTACCCCTTCATTTCCTTCCTTTTTATGAAAAATATTATTGCCTATTTTTAAAGATTTTTCAAAAGTCATTTAGGTAGCGCCTTGTCATTTTAGGTCGTTAAGTACGGTTTTGTAGATTTACTAGTTTTTGAATGACTAGTTTCCATTCAATTTTAAAGATCGAACATTTTGTGAGGAGAGGACTTGGATTGTTGGGAAATTTCATCGGGCAAATTAAAAAAAAAAAAACATTTTTTCTTAATTTTTAAGTTTTTACCATCACTAATGTCCACAGTTTCAAAATATGTAGTACTACCTACTATATATTTAATGCGCGAAGAGATTTTTTGTTCGGGATAAAAGATCTGTACCGTTCGCCCGATTTTCAAAAATGAGATGTCAAATTAAAGCGCTTGGTTTGTAGGTGTGCAAACTGGTTTTAGTTTTTCGAAAAATTAATTGTTGAAAAATTAAAATCAAATTATTTAATAGTCAATGCCATCTGAACTTTTTTCATCGGTATAGAGTGATTAGAAATTCGATGAAAATAAAAACATGCACTATGAGAGACTGCTCTTCACTCCGCAACGGCTGCACGATTTTAATGAAATATGGCACTTGGATCTCTTATAGCTCTGACTAACATTTGGAATATTTTTTAAGTTTTTGAAATTCAATTTTGGGCGTTTTAACGCCATGCGGGCTCACTAGTTAAATCTATTTTCAAATAAACTGATAGCTCATTTATTCTAATCGAATAAAAATTGTCGAAATTATGCGACTTTTCTTAAATACAGCCTTGCAATTTTATTGTGTGTGTACCGGACTTTCAGATTTTTTTAGCCGTGTTTCTAAGGTATTCATCAATATTTATTGAAAATTGATATATACAATCGCTCTTTAGCAAAATATTGGCTTTTAAAAAATGTTTAGGAAAATGGGGGTGGCACTATCCGCTTATATCATATAACTACTTCACCGATCTCAACCAAATTTGGTACAAACATTGTGCTTAACCTCCTTAAGCACCGTCTTGAATATTTTAGAAATCTGAAAAAACCTACTCCTCCTAAAATATAGCCAGTTTTGGGGTTTTTTTTAAACTGCCCGTGGTTTTCGACCGATTTCAATAATTTTCAATATGGCGCTTAAGGAGCCTAAGCGCATTGTGTAGGAGAAAGAGCAAGGATTAGAGAAGCATATTAGGAAAAGTAATAAAAGCACATGCGATATCACGTCCTTACAATTTATATATTTTACAAACCGAATAGTTCATATGGGCAAAACAGTTCATCCTTGTATTTACCTTAACCTATACAGTGATTTAATCTAGTAGTCAAAGTTCAAACGGGGCATATTATATTTCAAAAAAAGAAATTTTGCTGCCTTTTCTCCCATGAGGCGATTTCTTAGAGGCTCGTATATAAGGCCAGCTGCTGAACAATTGCTCACTTAGAACGCTGGCGGGTGGAGCGCTCAAATATTTGCGTGCCAGATCTGTCAATTAGTCGTATTTTAGTTTAGTTTCCCACCAATCGAGAGGATTTTCACCGAGATGGGCTCGTTTTTCTTTAAGGTAAACCCTCAATTGAGCTTTAATTTCACATTCTTTAATATCTCCAGATTCTACATCCGAGCCTTCGCTTTTGCTGAAGGAATCTAAAATTATTTCTATGTTGCTTATAAGACTTTTAACAGTACTTGTTGAAGGCCCGTCGATGTTGCTTAATATACTACTTAACCGTTTAGCACCTGAAGCTAAAAGCCGGTTATTGTCCGCACCCTGGTTAGATAGACTTAGAGCAATTTCAGCAATATTAGAGTGGACTCTTTGCCCATGTACACATTCGCATTCGCAAACCATTCGTATCATTTGATGCGAATGCGAATGGACCCAATATTGAACCTTGAGATACTCCAGACGTAACACGTTTTAGACGAGATACTCTTTTCCCACACTGTACTTATTACTGACGATTAGATGGATAACTTTTCATAAGTTTTAGTGCAAAGCTGCGGAAACCAAACATTTTTTTTTTTTTTAAGTAGTAGTTTATGGTCAACTGTATCAAAAGCCCTGCTAAAATCCAACGGACACATGATTGTTAACTGGTTTTGGTCATATGCAGGACGAATATCTTCAAATATTTCTAGCATGGCTGTAGTGCAACTGTGACGTGCGCGGAAATCAGGTAGAATATTACTTTGCTCTCCAAATACTTTCCAAATACCTTAAAACAGGCAGAATAATTATTAGTCGAAAATCTTGTGGTAGTTCTGGATAATTTACTTTTGGTATTAGTAAGATGTTCGAGATCTTCCAACTACTTGACACAAGAAGTAATTGAAAAGATTATTATATGTGTGAGGGCAGAAATAACGAATAGTAAAATTAGTTTTATAAATCTCAGGTGTACTCCACCGGAACCCACCGCATTGGACCAATTCGCGTAAATAGCCTTTACTACATCCTCTTCAGTAGCCACATTGAAATTAAACTCGCATTGAGATAGGCAATAAAATTTCTCATAAAAACGAAGGAATTTAAGGGGTAGGGTCTTGAAATTTAAAAAAAAAAAATCGATGGACACCCTAATATACATAGATTTAAATGACAAGCAAAATATATACATACATATGTATTTAAAAACAACACTTATTGAAGTCTAAACTTTGACTTATCAAGCAGTTTACAGAAATCGACGTAGATGCGGCTTATTTTATAATACTGGAAGGTTGTGCAATATACTCGCACATATGTATGAGGGGCGTTCCATACCAAAACGGACGGGATTCACAGTTCTTATGCTTGATTTGTTTCACATTTTTAGGGTTGGTGCATAAACATAAATAATAAAAAAAATATATTGAATTTGAGCTTGATCAATACATTTTTAAAAACTTTACAGCACAAAAACAAAAACAAATCGATTTAATAGTTTTCCAAATATCTAAGAACGGGTGAGGAAAAAATCTGGAAAAAATCACACATACACGCATCAAAGTTCTCTATGAAAACAAATATTTACAAATTTCTTTTTCACATAAAATTTTTTGATAACACATTTGATTTTTTGCCATCTCAAAAAAGAATAAAAAATCAAAAATTGTGGCTCTGAGTATTGCGCAATATTTAAGTATAGTATCATGGGGTACTCTTGTCAATAATTTAAGTTATGCATTTTTTTTACACCGAAGTTGAGTAAAATGAGTACATTAAGAATTTACAAATTTGTTTAATTTTTTTTTCAGTATGCAGTCTTGTAGCCCATTAATTTTTAGTATAAAAAAGTGCAAGTTTTCAGCTATTGCAAAATCGCGTTGATTTTTAATATTTTTTATGCTGACGGCTTTTTGCGATTTTTTCTTATGGAAGAAAATGCGCAAAACTGTTTTTAAAGAAAATTAAAAAAATAAAAAATAACGCCAGTTTTGCAAAAAAAAAAAATTTAAAACCTTCTAAACTTGTAATATACTCATTTTACTCAACTTCGGCGTAAAAAAAATTCTAACTAAAATTTGTTGTAGAGTGCACGCATAATACTATACTTAAATATTGCGCAATACTCAGAGCTACCAGTGTAATATTTTTTTATTTTTTTTAGAAGGCATATTTTCAAAAACTAATTTTTTTTTTCAAAAAATTTGTATATGAAAAATTTTTGAAGAAAAAAAAATTTTTAAATATATCTTTTCATAGAGAATTTTGATAAGTTTACGTGTGATTTTTTTTATTCTTTCTCGCCCAATCCTCGAGATACTTTGAAAGCTATTAAATCGATTTGTTTTTGTTTTTGTGCTGTAAAGTTTTTAAAAATGTACTAATCAAGCTCAAATTTCATATTTATTTATTATGTATTTATGTTTATGCATCAACCCTAAAAATTTTAAACAAATCAAACACATGAAGTGTGAACCCCGTCCGTTTTGCGATGGAACGCCTCATGTACATATTTCATGAATATAGTATACGTAAATATTTTGCTTACACACATATGTACTTACAATAAATAATACATATTTACCAGGCAATAGTAAATTAATTACTATATTTCTGAGTCATTTCAAAAATCAAGGGTACTTAATCAGCTCGATCGTATTTATACAAATTTACGGGCGTTTGTATGTACTTCGAATGACGTAAATTTGGTATGAAAACAAATAATAACAAGAATTTTTGCAAATATGAGGAAAAAATAACAGAAATATGCTAAGGGTATCTCCTTGATATCGAGTGAAAGAGAATATCTTCGGTAGCTGAATAGGTAGACATTTTGTTGAGGTTTGAATTGAGCGCATTCGCAAACCAACGGAGTACAAGGACTTTTGTCAGCAAGACTGGACTAAATTAGAAGGTTCGATATGATATCGATTATTCCGAATATCGATATTTCGTGGTGTGATAGTAACCGGGCCGGACAAGATGCTTTTATGCAAATTCATCGTCAACGGCCTGTTAGTGGCTCTGGAAAGAATTGACTGTCGATGAATGCGTATGCTGACTATAGCAATGATAACAAATGAAAAACTCCAGTGCTTGAACTTATGCTGGGTCACCTGAACTTGGTTGAAAACTGGGCTTGTTACTTTTACTAGGAGATATAACAAACCGAATTTCCAGCTCTCTGACAGGGTGAAGTACTTGGGATTGGGCCTTGACAGCAAGCCTTCCTGGAAACCGAATGTAGATCAGAGTCAAGAATGCAACAGTCGTATTTTATTGTTGTAGAGGCCCCATTAGCAAGCGCTGGGCTCTCTTGCCGAAGATAGTTCATTGGCTTTATGAAACTATAATTCAACCAACTTAATTATATGGAGTACTCGTCTGCTGAAACGCACTAGACAAGACCTTCATCGTCAAGAGACTGGAAAGATTGCAAAGAACTGCCTTAACTGGAATTAGTGCGGCACTTTGAACCAAGTCAAGTAGATACAGGAGACAGAGCTGCTGCCGCAGTAAAACTAAGTGGGAACGTACATAGCTGGAGCTGTCTTTCGCGAAGAATTTTACATCAACCTGAAATTTAGACTACCGGATCACTGCAACGTTTTCCGACCCGAGGTGTCCGCTATAATAGAGGCTTCGGACTGGTTTCTATCTATTCCACCAGCCAAGCAGCTATCAAGGCTCTTGGCTCCGTCATGGTTTGTTCGAGAACGTCGAAGGATTGCTTGATTTCCGTATCGACCGCATCGGATTACTACGGTATTAAGCGTCCACCTCTCGCGGAGTGTTTTTCTAATAAGAAGTCTTAGGTTTTATCGTTTTGTTCTACGTTTCTGAGTCCTTTTCCCCATCCCTCTAAGGGGTATCACAATGGACTCCTTAATACATGTCCAATCTTCACAATAGCATATTTTCCGGTCGGAGGGCAGTGGTTTGGCTTCAGGGCTGTTCTCGACTTTTTCTCGCTTCTCTCCTGGTGTGTTATCCTACGCGAAGTGCTCTGAGCAGGTCGGCGTTATTGAAGATGTCTTCCTGGCAGGCATATCTGCCTCGTCATTACCTTCTATGCCTTTGTTGTCTGGTATCCAAAGCGAGAAGACTCTGTTGATTGTCACTAAGGAGTTTAATCCACGCACTCGATTATCACTGCAGACTTGATTCCATTGGAAACAAGGTGCCTTAGTTTCGCTTCAAATTAGTATGTTATCGTTGCGTTACTTTCGCTGTAGATTAAGCTTTCCGCACAACCTTAAGTCTACCCATGGGAACTGAGATCTTTGTTCTTGGCCCAAAAACTCTAGCCTGCTTTATACCCTAATTCTTCTTTAAAGTTCCAATTGAAGCTTAGAATTCTGGAGATGTAATCTTGTGGGAATTGAGTAAGGGTAGTTGCGCCCTGAAAGATTCCATAATCCAAGATGATACCACTTTATCTTTTCCACAACCCTATCTGGTAAAATTGATTAGGGATCTTTTGGCTTCCTGCTCTATATACGCGCGAGAATAGCCTCGATTGCTGCTGTAGGACAGGTGCAGATTACGATTGTGAAGCTCAAACACGCTAGATTTTGTATATTTGTTAGTGAGCGCGTCACAGTTGCTAGGTTGACCCTCGAACTCCAGGACAACGCTCTATAGGTTTTCCGTTGGGGCAGAATTACGCGGTTATTAACAGTCGTTATTACTTGGCCATCGACTTGGATGCTTAATTGCGGCCTCACTTCCTTCGTTTAGGTTGTAAAGAGTCGCCGTCGATTTCACAGAGAAGATGATAACGAGAAGGATATGTCATTCACATTCAAATACAGATATTCAATTCCGTATACATGGGCAAACATCGAGCAATTATCCACAAAACAGATAAGTAGAACTCTCTCTGGTAATAGAGCTTCGAGATGTAGAAGTTAAACAGTAGTTCTTTAATTTTTCTTTTGGGCTGCGAAATTGTATCTGAAAAACTGCAGTCGACAGACTGAGATGGGAGAAAGCATATCTCAATTTTCTCTAATAGCGTGTAGTTATAGACGGTGCCGAAGGCTTTCAGTTACGGCCACGACTTACCTGAATGGTTAGGGTATCAAGTTCTGCGGCAGTGCTCTACTTTTTAAGGGAGCCATACTGATAAGTAAAATAGCTAGCGCGTTTCTTAAGATCCTATTTCAGTGGTCTAATGAAAGATAAAGAACTGCAAACACAAAGCGTAGAGCTGCCTGGAGTACAGAAAACTCTTATGCCGTAGGCTTTAAGATGGAAGTGTTGGAAATAAACCAAAAAAATAAAAGATAATAATTGGAAGCTGCGCATTCATTCTTCAAACTTGCAACTAATTAAGATTGTGCCATTTGAATTTCTTCCACTATAGTCACTATTCAAGCTTATAATGGCGTTCGATTCATCAGTTTCAAGCTGGCGCTAGAAAATGAAAATGGCGACCCGAGTCTAAGTCAAGATCTTGGGCATTTCGAGCTGCTCGACCCCGTAGAGACACGCTACAGCCCGAATTGTATCAATATGGTAGAAAGCACAAACACAAATCCGAAGACGCGCATCGATGTCTCATGGATAGCACCCGAAGCACCTGGCTATGGTTGTGTGCTCATACGCACAACGTTGTTACAGCACCGTGATGTTTGGTTCATGGACGATGGTGGACTCACGCGACGAATCTGCGAAGAAAGCGTCGACGAAGTGGAAAGTGCGCCGGCGAATGCAGAAAGGAACAGCTGCTGTGCTTGCGATGAGGCACGCTATGAGGTTTGTTGATGCATAGTTAAAAATTAAAAAGTCATAATTCAGAAATTCTTCTAATCACTTATTCACAGCTCACTTTCGAAGGTACTTGGTCGCGAAATCTGCATCCGAAAGACTTTCCTGCGAAAGGTTGGATAACGCGTTTCAGCGATATTGTCGGCGCCTCGCATACGGCCGACTATCGTTTCTGGGAGTATGGACAAATGGCTACTGAAGGTATGAAAGAATTTGCCGAGCACGGTTCGGCGCAGACACTGGAGCGTGAATTTAACTACAACTTTAAGGTGAGTAATGGAAAACGGCGCAAATTCATTAGGCGCCTTTCATTTTCATATATTTTCCAGGATGGTAAAATACGCACTATAATTAAAGCGCGCGGTCCTGCCTTTCCTAACTTAAATGGGCAATCGCTAGCATCGATACGCGTGGATCCGCAACATCATTTGCTATCACTTGCTTCCAAAATAGACCCTTCGCCTGATTGGATTGTGGGCGTGTCGGGTTTGGAGCTCTGTGTGCCCAATTGCACTTGGTTAGATCAGAAAACTATTACCTTGTATCCGTGGGATATCGGCACCGATGCTGGGCCTTCTTATACGGTAAGTATTACTTGAATAAGTTCTTAAGAGAGCATTATATATAAGCGTATTTGCAGTCACCGGATCAGCCCCAAGTTCCCGCTGATGTAATACGTCGCATGCGCTCCGACTTTCCAAACGATCCACGATCGCCATTTTTTGACAATACTGGCGCGCCTATGAAACCCTTAGCTATACTAAAGATTAGACGGCAAAGACTCTATGATCGTCTTTGCGAAGATGAAGACTGTAAGTGTGTGTTCGGTAGGTAAATTTAGTGAGATGAATGGATCTTTATTTTTACTCTCTTATAGCAAATAATTTCGATGTTCCCCGCGAATGCTATACTCATCCTTGGACTGCGTGGAGTGAGTGCACTGCTAAGTGCGGTGAAGGACGCCAATACCGAACGCGCGTCTACAAACAGCCGGAAGTGGCAAACATCTTCAACTGCGAGGTGGAAATGCGACAAGATCGCGGCTGTATGGGCGAAGATTGTGGACGTGATGAGCGACGATTTGATAGAATGAGAGGTCGGGATATAAACGATGAAGATGATTATCTAGAAGGAGAGGAAAGAGAAGACTCAACTGGATCAATATCACGGGCGGATTGTCAATTGACTGGCTGGGCTGCTTGGTCGCCTTGCAGTCGTACCTGCGGGGAGGGTAGAATGATGCGCAGACGTCAATATGTAAATCCGATGGCGGAAGCCAGATGTCAGGGTGTGAAATATGCGCGCCTAGTAGAGTATCAGAAATGTATGGGACGAGAATGTTTGGAAGGCGTGCGAGGTGGACGCAGAAACCAGGTAATAGGAGACGACGACAAGCAAACTGAAGCCCACGACGAGGAGGAGAAGGAAGAAAACGGGAATGAAAAAGAGGAAGAAGTCGAAGAAAATGAGGCAAATGGTGGAGTCGAACCAAGAAAAGAAGACGAGCACGAGGACAACGCCGTCGAAGTTGAAAACGAAAAATTAGATGAGAAGCAAGACTTAGCAAAACCGGATTTTAGTAACTGGGAGCAAAATCGTGACAGAAACAGTTATGGCTATAGGAGACCAACCAACTCGCAGGAACAAAATCGTAATGCGGACGAAGAGGATGAGCAGGAAGGAGAGGGAGTAGACGAAGACGGAGGGGATGAAGACGAAAATGGAGAAGAGGACGAGGACAAATACGGAAACTTACCAAATAATCGTTACGGCTATGGTAACCGTTATAACATAGCGGGTCGGCGTAGAGGTAATTCGAATGACGACGACCAAGCTGAAGTCAATGGAGGTAACCGTTCTCCGAATCGTTTCGGTTACAACAATCGTTTCTACGGCGGCGGCAGACGACCTGATGAGGAAGAAAACGAAGTGGATCAGGAGGAAGACGCCTTCGAAAGCCCAAATAATCGAGGCAGAAACTGGCGTCCTGATTCACGCTTTAATCCGGTAGAAGATTTAGAAGAAGATCTCGATACTGAGCCTGTGGAAACTCCAGCATACTGCTTTAAAACGCTAACCATGTATCCTTGTCTCAGTTCGGGGACGGTGAGAAATTATTGGTTCTACAACTACTGTGAAGACGAGTGTATGCTCTTTTCAGCCAATAGTTGTGATAAGAATGAAAATAAATTCACATCGTTGGAAATGTGCGAAGAGACATGTCGCTCGCCGGGAAACGAGGAGTTGCTGCTGCGGAAACAGCGGCGAGGCTGTAGTAGAGCGAATGAGCCAAGGAATTTGCGTAGGAAATATTCTAGATTTTAAGTTAATTTTTAAATACATATTTTTATACGGTAAGAAATTTTTATTTAGGTTAACTTTGCATTAGATGAATTTTTTATTTATACAATTATTTAAATAAATCAAAAAATACATAACTATGAGTGAGTATGAACATAATTTACACTTAGGTTAAAGATATGACACATAATTTTTTCGCCAAAGCAAATAAATTAAAAAAAAAAAAAAACTGAGGTTAAACGAAAAATCTTTTTTTTTTTGAGCATGAAACAGGATCTTTAAAATTGAAGCGCCAGTATGTAAAGAAAATAGGACTTTGATCATATTTATATAAAAATAACACAAACGGCAATAATGCAAAATTTGCTTTATTTCACTTTTAAATGGGAAATAATACCAAAATTTGAGTTTTGCTTTATT